AATTAAAAACTTTTCATATGATTTTGTGTTATAATATTGTGAAATATAAAAAAAAAAAATTAAAAAACTGATAGAAATATTAATAAATATTAATTAAGTACTAGGAAATGGCATGTGGACACATGCTAATTAATGTCCCACTTTACTGAATAAGTCCCACTTTAACGAAATAAAGCATCTCAATAAATCACTTATAATGGTTCTCTCACTTTGTTGGTTTAGATCCTACTAAACCCTTTAAAGACACCTTCTTTATCTTAATTTTACTACTCATTCTGGAGTGTCAAACCATATCAATATAACTTATAACTTTTGACTTCTCATATTGATTTTTTAGATATTTATAACACTTTCCATTGCACATGTAATGCAAATTCCACTTTTCCATCCTAAAGAGTTCTTTACTTGAGGATATCACCATCATCTATTTTATTTCATGCTAATTTAAGCATTAAATTCCACTTATCTATAATTTGTATTAGGGTTATTTTTGGCCTTATCATTTGACTATATTGTTGCTAGCTTTCTATAGCTTTTACCTTTTGTTAAATTGGAGCATTTGAAATCCCATACCTTAGAAACCTATTACTTTTCCCACAATCCATTAGCAAAAGTTATCATTTAGATCCCCTTCAATAATTTTTAAGGCCCATTTTTTCTCACTAATCTTTTACTCTTATCTTTCAATTATTACACCAAACAACCCAAGATTGTTACTTCCTCCTTGAGATATCCTTTTTGCTTCATAACAAACACTCAAATCCAAAGGGTGTTCACCTTTAGTAAGTTTCTATAACATTTCTATTGTTTACACTATTTATGGCCCAATTTTACAACCCTTTTATAGGTTCTTTCTTTCTTGGAGATTATTTTCTTGGACTCACAATATTATTATATTGTTATATATCATTTCACTTGGGTGTCCTTCCCACTTAGTCACCTTGACCAAGTCAGTTTGCCCTTTTTTTTTTATCTTAGTCTCAAAATTGAATATGAACCAGTTATGGTCTCAATTTTGGTCTCATGCTTAGTTTCAATCTCAAAATTGGACTCCATCTTGGCCTATTCTCAGACTCAGCCTCAAACTCCATCTCGGACTTGGTCTCGAACACAGTTTCAAACTCAACCTTAAACTCAGTCTTAAATTTAGTCTCAAACTCGGTCTTAATGCTTCTATGTGTTATGACATTAGTCCTTTTTATATCTTTTTTTAAAGACTCATTATTGATAATTTTGCACTTGTTTCTCAAACACTTCTTTGGGAGTTCCACTCCCACTCTCAACTTTCCAAATTAAAGTTTTTGATCTAAATTGTTATGCTCATTGGCCACTTTGACCATTGCTGTATGGCATACTTTTTGCTCAACTTTGGATATAATGGATTTATATTTTACACACTTATAATTAGTGAAATATATTTAATTTAAAATGTTAATTTTACATATGGAATACTAGAAATATAAAGAAAGTTTTTTGCTACATTTTGAGTAAGATAATTTATTAGATGTTAATCTCAACATATGGTGTGATTTCTTTACCCAACTAATAGAGTCAAACTTAATACTTCCTTAATAACAAATCTAATTTTTTGAATTTGGGTTTCTTAGAAGGTCATCCATCCCAATACTACTAAAACCAAAGGATATATAACTCCATGTAGTTTAAGACTTTTAACTGAATAGAAAAAAAGGTACACTTTTGTTTATAAGGTTTTCCTTTTATAATTGAATTTTAATGGACCATCTTTTAAATTGTTTCTTTTGGCTATTTATACTTCTTTATTATCTAGTTTTTAGGATCTTTTATAACATGAGGTCCTTTATTTATTAAGATTCATGCATATTTAATTCCTTTTATTTTTATATTTCCTCCTTAAAAATAGTGAATTTCCTCTTCTAGTACTTTATCCATTTTTTCTTTTCCCACATTCCTTTCTCCCTTAATTTTATTTATTTTTTCCTCTTTTCGCTAATACTCTAAACTTTTTTTCTTCAAAGGAGGGTGTAAATGGAAAAATAGGAGTATAGCCATGATGATGGAGTGAATATGAGTTATAGTGGTATTAAAGTGAAGACAAAAAATATAAATTATGGAGTGAGGATAAGTATAACAAGTTATAAATTATAGAACATTGATGATGTGACATCAAGTAGATATGATAATAAAGTGAGGACAAAGATGAGGACAATTATAATTAGTTTAAATAAAACTATTGTCTTAGAACTTTTTTTATTTTGAGGAGGGGATAAAAAAAATATGGAAAATCTCTTACATCTAATGTTGAATAAGGAAGAGGATTGTAAGTCCAACATAAAGCAAATTTTAAACAATAGCCAAAAGGAAGATGGTTGAAACAAGATTTTCTAAATTAAAGATGTAGAAATAGAATTTTTCATTTGATCTAGCGGTGTTTTGTGGATTATAATAACTCTTAATGTTCTTTACTTTGATTAAAAGTGGTGGTTTTTAAGTTAGTTCAAATGTTTTGCAATTGCCCATATATCCCGCTCTGTTGAGTTAAATTTTACTTTATGGTTACTCTTTAATAATTAATTTAAAAGCTGAAAACCACTTCTACCAGACCAATATTTGTAAATAGTACTTTTGCAACCACAATGATTTGGATTTCTAAGCACTCAATGTATTTTAGCAAAAAGAACAAATTTGCTAAGATTGTATATGAATCACCCTCCCACAAAACAACCATTTTGTTTATCTCTTATAAGGGACTCCCTCATTAAAAAGCACAAAAATGAAATAAAATATTCATCACCTCTTAAAAAAAGTATACTTACTCTTTTATATTTCCTTTATAACAATGGCTTTGTTAGAAGGATGCAAACTTTCAATACCCACAATCACATTTACGACACTTTGCCTCGTTAGGAAAGATTGATCTCTTGGAGGTTCTTCTCATATGAACCTCAAGAAATTCATGGAAAGTCTTATCATTCATTCATAGAAATTTAAATCACTATAAGATTCTGCTAGCATTTCAATGCTAGATGATGGCCCTTTAAACTGGCTTGTCTGGGGATTCTTGTATCAAGGCTAGAGAATTCTAATTGTCCACAAAGAAGGAAACAAAAATGATGTTCGCAAAGTTTCTCTTAGCATGCTTGAGAAGGACAAGGAGGGGAAGTAGCTCGTGCTATACCAGAGCTGCATCCAAGAGATTGTTCCTCTATTGGCATTTCATTTGGCAGAGAAGAAGTGGGAGTGTTGCGGCCACATGGATCAGGAGCTTGTAGAGTTTGCACTCCACTGGCCCAAATGCTGCCCAGGCATCCATGCCTATATGGAAGAGGACATTGTGTTGGAGGCCATGAACCCAGTGAGTGGAAGAGGAGATTGTGTTGAGGATTACAGAATTAGATTCCAAATCATGGGCTATTGCTAAGAAAGTTTGGGTCACTAATGAAAATGAAGTTATGGAAGAATACACACTTTTTTTTGCATGGCTTAGTTTCAGGAGAAAAACCTCATAAAACTAATTGTAAGGAGTGATTTGTACTTTTTTATGTCAATGATCATTTCTGATGTTTATTACATGGAATGTGGGGAGTAGAAACACATCAGTAATTTAATGGATTTTTGTTGTTGTAATGACTCATGTCATGTCAAGATCGTAGAAGCCATCTTTTTGCTTTTTGGTTGTAGCCAGGATTGCATCGCATTATCCCGCTGTCTATGGAAACCCAATTTCCCGAGCCAGAATTGTATTGGAGAATGAAGCTAGTGTCGGTGATTCACTGTCTTGTTGTTAAGCACTGCAATCCGGTAGATCCCTGTGTCGGGGTCCACATCCATCGCCTCTATCCTCTTCAGGGCACTGGATCATCTTCCAAGTGTTTGTGAGAGGATTCCCCACGGCCAAATACCGTGAGCCCGCATTCGTCCGCGGTACCAGGACGGTCCGAGCGACGCTGTGGAAACCGAGTCGCAGGAGGATGCCCACGAGCATCTCCTCCTCACAAAGCCGAAAGGCAGAGCCGATCGCCATGCTAGCTTATGCCCTCTTTTGTTTATTTCTTTTCATTACCTTATTGCTAAAGGAGCCTCCTCAAAAATATTCAAAAATATTCAAAAATAAAATTTTTCAAAAATATTCCGAATCTCCACCTCAAAAGTACTTAATCAATTTAACATTCTAAATTGAAGAATGCAACCTTGTCTTCTTTCTAATCAAACTTTCTATGGAAATTCTTCTACTTTTCCTACTCCTAAATCGATTTGTGACAGCACAGGTTTCTTGCTTAGAACACAAAAGGACTTACTCTAAATTCTTTTGTTTTTTTCAGGAATGTGGCTTCTTTTCGAGGACATGTCAAAACTATAGAATCTCAAAACTTGGTTACTTCTGGGCTACTTGCTATAAAGAAGATCGCGCTTACACAAAACATTGGTTTATTGTTCTGAACGAGTATGTAGAGAATGTGAATGGAGAGCTCAAACCTGGGGGCTCGGAGTTTTCAAGGACATGTAGCCAGCTGCGAATCATTAGATTCCACACAGAATCTTCTGATCTCAATCGGGTGGGAATTGGAGGCTATTGCAAAGATTTTCATGGAACACCAACTTGGTCCCAATTTGATGTGGACTCCCATGTAAAGAATGTGGATGGATACCTCAAATGGTGTGGTCCTTGGACATGGTAACGAAAAACAGTCACCGGTAAGTTACTGATTTTAACATGAAAATATGTATTTATTCCAGATGGCCTAGAGTTATCTTTAGTAAAATCGTGATTATTCAATATTTATCCATCATATGCCGAAACTAATCACAAAGTTTGTTGAATCAAAAATCATGGAAAAAAAATTATGAATGTGGGACCTCACATGAACAAGCATTAAAACGTATTACGGTTTACGAAACTGTTTTAAATGTCATTCATAACCATTAGATTAAAGACTCTCAATGAGAGCCGTTAGATGACTTATAATGGATTTGCTTATAAGAATGGAGGGAGTGGAGCCTAAAACCCTAAGAACAGAGCGATGCTAGGTTTTAGGCGCTCCGGCGATCGGTTCCAATGCGGCAAGGATTCCTCCATCCAGCAGCAGCTGCCGCGGTTGGGATCCACCTCGAACGAATGGACGCTGGCGAGCTCCGATTCTCGCAGAATGAAGAAGGTTCTCGTCTCCGGCTTGCCCGACTTTCTCGATTCGGGTAAGTCCTCGCGCTAGCGATCTCTTCCGCACGGATATTTCGATCGATCGCCTCAAAAATCTCGCGTCTATGCTCGCAGAGGGCCTGTTTTGCTTCTTCGAGCAGAATTTCGGCCCGGTCTTGGATGCTGTCGTGCTCCCATTCCATTCCGCCGATGGCCAGCGAGGAAGATTTGGCGTCGTCACATTCAAGAACAAGAACGCGTTCCTCGAAGCTATCCGGATGAAGAGCGGCTACATCTTTGGGAAGAAGGTACGCAGTCGAGTGAAATATGTCTAGAGCAATCTTGATTCCTTTTCCATGCCTGCCAGGCGATGATCGACATCGTGGAGGCTCGCGTTTCCAGGGACTTGCTGCCACCAGCTGACGAGAATTCCAAGAGACAGTTTGGAGAAGACGCTCCTCCGGCAAGCCTCATGCATTCTCCTTCGCTTCCTCCCTGGGCTCAGAGGTTCCGGGACTGGCTGCCGGGTTTTCTAGCCGAGGTTTCCAAGCGTCTGGCGAAAGGCGAAGCTTATCCTCTTTGCTCGCTGAAAGGCGACTTCCGGGCAACTTGTGGGCTGGAGATGGATCACGCGTCACTTGGTTTCGAGAAACTGAGAGACTTCATCCGTGCGTGGCCAGAAATCTGTGAGCCGAAGCTTGTGCCAGTGGGATCGGGCCCAGCGACACACATTGTTCTCGAGCGAGTGATGCCAGACACAGCAACAGAGATCCAGCAGCGGGAGCCGACTTTGGGATTGGGACCACAGACACGCAGTGAGAGTGTGTTGCCAGCTACCGAGACTGTGATCCAGCAGCCAGACCCGGGGCCGTCACAGCCACCTCAAGCTCCACCAAGCGACGTTGTCCAGGGATCGTTACTCAGCCGCAACGTGCTCCAGGATCTGTACAACGAGAACATCCCGACACTCCGCCGCAACGTGCTTCAGGATCTGCACAACGTGGAGAACGTCCCACCACCACCACCCAGCACCGGTACGATGCGCAACGTCTTTGACAACGTCGAGCACAACACTCTACCACCGAGCACCGGTGTACTGTGCAACATTTGCAAGGAGGAAGCGCTGTGGTCCGGCATTCCGTGCAGGCATCTTGTGCTCTGTGACTCCTGCAAGAAGTGCCTCGACAAGTGTGGTCAGACCCGGGGGATGTTTTGCCCCGTGTGCCATGATCCGGTCGAAAGCATGGTAAGCTTGTAAATTCTGCTTCAAGTGTTTTTCTCACTATTACGTTGCTTTTACTAGGACATGCTGCGATCGGCTGGCAAAGTGCCGAAGATGATACGTGAGGACGACGCTCCGGCAAGCCTCGAGGGACTTGAATTCGAGAAATTGAGTGCCTTCATCCGTGCTTGGCCAAAGTCGCAGCTTGTGCCAGTGGGACCGGGACCAGCGAATCACAGCGCTCTCGATCGTGTGCTCCCAGAGACAGCACCGAAGATCCACCAGCCTGAGACTCCAGCTCCGCCGGCCTACATGCTCCGCCGCCAGTCCGCATAGAGTGCTTCCACCATCTCTCGCCGAAGGCCCGGTACTCTTTTGGTTTTCTGCTTTGTTGATACTTTCGATCGATTTTGCTGTACAGAGTTAGAGCTAGTCGAGACAATTTCGTTTCTGACGAGGAAGTGTACATTCATATTCGTGGTCCATGAAAGTGTTCTTTTCCGCAAGAACTCAAGTCTCGATCTTCATAAAGGTAGTTTGGTCTCTTTTTCTTTCTAGCACGTTCTTCGTGCGAACGTTCTGAACGGCGGTGATCACGCCATATGGACCAAAAGCTGACGGCTCAGATGCTCTCTATCTTACGAACCTAGGGATCCACTCACTTCCGGCTTGCTGCTCACACTTGCGAGCGTTGGCGATGGCGGTTCCAACGCTCGAGGTAAATATTTAATCCATTATAGCAGCAGTAGCTATGGCGAAGAGCTTAGTTAGCGCCAATGCAAAACTAGCAGTAGAGCAGGCTGATAGAAAGGCAGGGAGCAACGCTCATCGCTGTTCTAGCAGCAAGTCTTCTAGCATAGAGCAGATTAGAGGGCCCGGGGCAGTGCATTTCGGGTTGGGATATGGCAGGAAGCCGGTGCTATCGACGACGAATCCGCTTCCGCTACTCCATTGGTCATCGAAGTGGCTCCCTCGGACTCCATTGAATCGTCTCGACGCGGACTACTTGTTAACTTGCAGCTCCAAGGCCGTCTCCAGTGACGATTCCAAGGCCGTCTCTGAAGATGGTGAGAGTGATGGCTTAAGTTCTAGCTCTTCCAGCAGGAAAGTTGTAGAGGAAGGAGGAGAAGTTTCTAGCAGTGGTCGTGGTGGGGAGGGAGGGAGGAAGGAGGAGGAGGAGTCATCCAAGTTTCGCTGGATGCCTGAGTGGCTCAACCTTACAAAAGACGATGCCAAGACGATCGTGATTGCGTTTCTAGCGTCGATGCTGTTTCGGTGGTATGTTGCGGAGCCGAGGCTTATTCCATCGTTGTCGATGTATCCTACTTTTGAGGTTGGAGATAGAGTGGTCGCTGAAAAGGTACAGGCATTTTTTCCCCCCCTTTGTTTTCTTTCGTGCGTGACTCCTCTCTTGTTGCAGGTCTCGTACTACTTTAGAAGTCCAGACGTAAACGACATTGTCATCTTCAAAGCTCCGGATGTTCTCCAAGTGAGTGTGTCGATGGGAGATATTGTTTGTGCTGAGGCGGGTTTCGCTTTTTGTTTTCCACAGGCCAGGGGCTACAGTGCTGGAGACGTTTTCATCAAAAGAGTCGTGGCTAAAGAAGGAGATGTTGTAGAGGTAATCAAACGCTACTGCGCAAGAAGTGCTAAAACATTTGTTTTCTTTCGTGACAGGTTCGCAATGGAAGGCTTGTCTTGAACGGAGTGGAAAGAATGGAGAGTTTCATTGCCGAGCCACCCGATTATGACATGCCTCCAGTCGTAAGCATCCCTTGTATTCTAAAGCTAAAATCCTCGCTTACGTTTGCTTGCCAAACTGCAGACCGTTCCCGAAGGCTACGTTTTTGTCATGGGCGATAACAGAAACAATAGCTACGATTCTCATATCTGGTAAATCTCTTTCATTTCAGCGTTTTCTCGATCTTGAGACTCGCTCGCTCTTTCAGGGGACCTCTCCCGGTTAAAAACATCATAGGAAGATCGGTGCTAAGATACTGGCCGCCAACGAGGCTGGGCAGCACAGTACTGGAGGAAGCGCCACGACTGTCGTCACATCGTGCGTTGTTAGAGAGCTCAAGTTGAAAGCTCCGTATCGACACTATCTCTTTTTTTCTTCGAGGGGCTCACTTGCGATTAATTTAAGCAATGCCGGAAGCAATCGCGTTTGTTTTGTGAGCAATTGGCGAGAAAACAATTCTAATATCTGATAGAGAGACTAATCAAAGGTTTCTTTCACTGTCAAGCTCACGGCATCAGCGGTCTAATTGCACTGAGGGTTATGTTGATCCCGCAGTTCAACGCTTTGCGATTACTATTACCTTGCAACTAGACTGTCTTCCATGTATGATCTTCCCAGCATGGGCGACTTTGAGAATGCTAAGCTGCTGAGTTTCAATTGCGAGGATACTCCAGCGAGCTCCTGGTCTCGAGGATCACGATCCGTAATACAGCTTCCACGAGAAGAACTGCTCGAAGTATGTGATGAACACCAAGAAGCTGCTAATGAGGTGGTCGTGGTTGTGATCACTATAGAGCATTTCAAGATGGTTGCGAGTGGCCACAATGGTGGTTGCCAAAGTTGCCATTTCTGCTCTTGGTGGTTGTTCTGTATTACTTGCTGATTAGCCTCATGGTTCTTCAAGTTGGCAGGCAATAATTGTACAACGTCCTTTCGTCTTGAAACTTGACTCAGCAAAGTATGAGCTAACCTTCCAACATGAAAGAATTGAATAATAAATAATTATTATAGAAATTTTCCACAGTGCTGGATGCTGCATTGCAACTCATACAATCAATGCATTGCCTCAAAAATATCTTGATCCATATGGAAGCAAGTAGACACCCATTCTCTAGAAAGTGGGAGATAACGTTCAGGGTGCTGAACTGAAGTAATTGTACATGAGCACAGGAATCCTCCATGTACAGCAACATTGGTACAAGTTCCTCCTTTCTTGCAGGGTCCATATGAGAATACATTACAAATATTTAATGCCTAAGTTTTTCTTATCTTTTAGAAGTTCTGAAAATACAAATATCTTAAACAGATACCATCTAATTTAATTAAATTATTTTATAAACACTTTTTGTGAGGGCCAAGTGTACGGTTACGATACCATATATTAATATTAGCATAATGGGATTTTGGTAACTATCGGATTGGTTTCAATTTGGACCACTCGCTCCTGTATATAAGCTAGGGTTTTTGGGCTAATGTAATGTCCTAAGTTTAGATTTCCCAGGAAGTCACCCAGCTCAGTACTATTCAAACCCAAGGACACTTAACCCTAAATATCCCAAGACTTGGAAAAAGGGGTGCACTCTTGTTCATGGGCCCTTTCCCTCTATATTTGAACCCTAATAGATCGTCTCTCAAGTACGCTTAACCCCAAATATCCCAAGACCCTTAACCGATTGGAAAGGGGGGTGCACTCTTGTTCATGGGCCCTTTCCCTTTATATTTAAACCCCAATGGATCGTCTTTCAAGTCGTTTCCTTTGGTTACTTACATCTAATTGATATGCACATTTTTTATATTCCCTTTCCATATTCCAAACACTCACATTGGTGGAGATGAGGGGCACCTTTGATTATCCTTGAAGAGTGCTTGAATTTGGGATTTTTGTTTAGATCTAGCTTTTGCATTGTTTAGATTTAGCTTTTTCCATTTCTTTTTTTTTTTGTTCTTCCCTTTTAGGATTTTAGTTTAGATCTAGCTTTTTGCATTGTCTAGATCTCCCATTTCCTTCTCACTTTTTGTCGTTTCTCTTCTTTTGCTCTTTCTTCGTCCGTCTTCATGGCAAATCCGCAATCTCCTCCTTTGACTTTGGAGCAGCAATTGGTACAATTGCTTGATGCTATGTGCTTGCAATTGACTAACCAAACTTAGTTGATGGCGGTGTTCATGGCACATGGTACAATTCCTCCTGCTCTTGGTGCTAATCCTCGCGTTCAGCCGGAGTTCTTTCGCGGGAATCCTGGCGATGATGTGTACCATTGGTTCGATCACTTCAAGGTAATTGCCACATATCATTCTTGGGATGATGTTCGACGTTTGCATGAGTTTCCCACGTGTCTCCAAGGGACGGCGTTGCAATGGTACAATGGTCTGAGCACAGTCACTCATGGGGATTGGAGTGTTCTCCTGGATGTCTTCAAACACGCCTTCGGACATGCCGACGACTATAATGATGCCTTCCAACAATTGCATTGTCTTCGCCAAAGGCCATTTGAGTCGGTGATGCAATTTGGCATTTGTTTCCGAAGTCTTTTGTTTTGTGCAAAGCCAAATATGTCGAAGCGGATCAAGTTAGGAATGTTGTGGCTAGCACTTCATCAAGATCTTGTTGAACTTGTGCATGCACTTGCTCCCGCCACCCTTGACGATGCTCTTTGCTTGACACAACATTATGAGATGTCGCCTCTTCCACTTCTTGCTGCCCGTCCTTCAGCTCCCCTTCCTGTGGGTGATGGTTCTGTTTCAATGGAGGTTGATGCTACTGCTGCTCGAGTCCAAGGACAAGGGCGAGGACGTGGTCATGGCCGTGATGTTTGCTGCTAGGCATGTGATGAAGTTGGTCATACTTATCGGTGCTGTCGGCATTTTCCGGATTGGCAACCTCCATTTCTTTGGTGGGGACCTTGGCGTTAGCAACGTCCTGTTGGTGCTGTTGCAGTGGAAGGTTTGAACACTGAGATGCATTTGGGAAATGAGGAGTCGCGCAAGTAACGGAGGGACCTTGCGCGAATAAGTTAGTGACCCCTCCATCTTTCTTTCGGGAGTATCATCAAGGGGTTCACTTAGCACCGGTTCATCCAATGTTTACTTTCCAAACTCGTTTATATAACAAGAGGTGTCCTATTATTCTCTCCATATTGGTTGATACAAGTTCAAGTTTATCTTCTATTGCTCAACTTGTTGCGACACGTTGCCATCTACACTTGCATCGTGCGGCAGAATTAGTTTTCATTCTTTATGGCAACGGCCGTACACATGCATGTGCACGGGATGACACAGACCTGGTTGTGCGTGTAGGCGATCTCGAGCTTGAGTTGCAATCATTACGGGTGGTGCCGAGTCAAGCTTTTGACCTCATTCTTGGTATGGATTAGTTGCAGCACAATTATGCCAAGTGTGACTTTAATGCTTCTCCCCTTTATCTCATACTTCCTTATGTTTCATCCATTCCTCTCACTTCGATACCTCTTCATCCCTCTACTTTTACCTCTACTTCCATTACTTTTGTTCCCCCACTATTTCCTTCTATGTTTCCGTCTTGTTCTGCTCTTCCCTTTTTCGATCCCTCCGACAGTCTTTGTGTTGCAGCGGTTGACCGGCTCATGAAGGAGTATTTTGATCTCTTTGAATTTGACCTATTGTTTGGGGCCAAGATTGCCACACGTCATTCGATTCCAACCGGGGATGCTCATCCAATCAAGGTTTTTGTTCGTCGTCGGTCACCCAAGGAAATCAAGATTTTACATGCTGACGTCAAGGAGATGTTTGTGAGACACAAAATCCCTAGGCCCCAAAGTGGAGCCGGAA